ATGATAAGAATGACTTGTGAGGCAAGTCTATGCTTGTATTGAAGAATGGTACAATCAGTGAATGTTCGAACAAAAGCCAGTAATTCATTTTTTTGCGACTAGTGTCGTACAAACAATTAGAAAGTTTGGCAATGTCCCAACGTTAGGTAGATTACAAAATCTTTCTTCAAGTCTTTCTGTACATAAGTCGCTACTGAACTACATTCCGCTTATTGCACAATAGACATGAATCTTGCCGGGAAACTCTTAGCTCTGTTAGGATTGACGTAGTCGTATGGCTTGTCTAAAAGTAACCATGGTTTGATAGACATTTTAGTTTATTATGTTTGACTTAGGACACGGGAGAATTAAGGAAGAAAGTCTTCCCAAGCTACAGACAAACCATTCATGCATTATTTGTTTTTCAGAAAAATACGTTATCAGCTGGAATTTCTAATACTCTCGTTATCAATCGTGAAGGGTTCAGGTGTTCTTCTTCTATTCAATCCACACTCTTCATTGTTGGGGAAAGGAAACAAAACTAATCGTACACCGTCCATAGTAGTATCTGTTAAATGAATCCGAGATATGTTGACAATCAAAGCATACTTTTGACGTTTGTCTTATCTACTGTCTTTCTAATATATTACTCTTCAAAATATGACCTAATTCAGGTTCTTTTCGAGAAAAAAGAAGTGGTTTTCTGTTAAAAATTACAATTGGCACTTCACTTTTATAAAGACCATCTATTTCACCGAAGGATTAAAAATGTTGCAGTAATATTCCACGGAAAAATTTGCAATAGGAAATCATCATACTTTCTTTCGTGATTCGTATAGTCTGAGGATTTTAGACGGAAGGGGGTGATTATATGCAGAACACATTCTGGACTCATCCTAGGTGATATGATCTCATTTTTGATCGAAAAAATTTCTTGAATGCGGAAGATCATCCCTTCGTTTTCCCCATTCTAAATAGTTCTTAGGAAAAACAAAAAGATTGTAAAAGTCAACACTACTACTTTGTTTTTCGTCCTCTTGTCAACATTATAAAATTTCTTTCACCGTCTCCTAACTTGATTTTGCTTCACCACCTATGATCTTATTATAACAAATAATTCAACACAATGTTTTGTTAATATTCGATATATCATTAGACTAAAATTTCTTCTACTTTGTTTTTTGACTTGAATTGTATAGAGACATAAGGAATTATAGTGTTTGAAATGGATCTTTAAATAAATATAGATCATTAGAAAAAAAGTCTTCAATTAGATATTAATCAATCGAGTGTCAAATATTCTTTCAATATATGACCTCGATGCAATTCGATGCAGAATCCGATAGTGGTGACGAATATCTGGTTGTTGGATTTTTTTTACTTTCATTCTAATCCAATCTACTTTCATCATAAACAAGAAATAAATGTTAGAATGTAAAAAAAAGAAGGCATTTCTATAACGCTTGACTGTGTTGACAGTGCAATAAACACACTCTTATGTGATTTTATGAATGCTTTAAAAAATTTTTAATTTTCATTAAAATGTTGTATTAACCCTTTCAGTCCCAAATTATTTCTGCCAGATTCAAATGAAGTAGAATGAGATATGTTTATTTTGGACATAAACGCATGGCATTAATAACTCGCCTGTGGTCTTATGTGATTTACTCAGTATACGTTTTATTGAATCTTGCTATACTTGAATGGATATTGTGATCGCTAAAGTTTATTACTTCCAACACTTATACAAGTTTTTCATGAAATAACAAAAATCAATTTTTTTTTACACAAAGAGAAATGCCACAATAGCTGCATGTCATGATATTAAACATTGGAGAAGCTCTCGTACTGCAGTATCTGCATGTTCCTTTGGATCCAGCAACACTCATATGTGCTGATAATTGAGCTGATGAAAATTTGTTCCACAACGTTTGTTGGATTTCTTTTTCCTTTCTCGTAGAAAAGCGGATAGGTTTGCTTCTTCTTTTCCGTGAACTTTGGTCATTAGTTAATGATGTTGAGATAAAAGAAAGGAATTCAACTGGCTCCCTTTCGATTTCGACAGTGTCGTCTTTTTCATCTATTTCAAAGTCGCCTTCGTTTTCGTCCTAAGAATCATTTTTATCATCAAAAGATGACTTCCTTGTATGAATTTCTTTATTATAATCCATTTATTTCTGTTACGGAGACAACGTGTATTATAGTAGCAAATTAGAAAAGAATTCGGTGCTCCGCTCAGGTTGCGTACTAATTTTTGGAGATCTGGATTAATCCAAAACGTCGTCTTCAATACTTTTTTAAAAAATGTTTGAGAACATTCCATAACTTTCCCAATGAATAACTATATATCTCATTGACAGATTGTTTGGGAGGATCCTAGAGCATTCTCTATTATTTTATTCTAATAGACTAAGTACCAATTTTTATTAATTGTTGTTGTGAAAAAGAATTATAAAACATGTGTAGCCTTTTTGCTACTATGGAACTGAAAGAGTTAAACTAGTTCAACAAATAAATTCTTCAGTAGAAAATTTGTCAATAATTCTTTAGTTAGTACAATATTCATCATCAGTGGTCTATTCAATATATATACTTTAATCCTCTATTCTGTTATTGCTTCATATGTGTTTATTATTTCTCTCGACAGTTTTGTTGACGTTTTACATACGAAGTATATTTATCATCATTTCAGTACGTCAAATACCTTGCATAACAAAACTGATGCAGAAAACTATTTTTTTTTCGCTAATCAAATAGAAATCATGATGATGTTATCATGAAACTCTATTGTTAAACATTGATAATCTAATAAATTAATTTTATTTGCTTGTAGTACGTGGTCTGGTAATATAAAGCAATGGAAGAAATGCCAATCAATATCGAATGTACTGCGTGTGGCGACACCTAAGCTAAGACTCTTTTGTGAAAGTTCATATTTACAGCATATGAAGTTTATCACTAATAGAGATTATTTATGATGTCAAATTCTTCTGACCTACTATAATCATGGAACTAAACAAAAATCAGGGAATTGATTTAACGACATCTTTCATTTCTATTTGTTTTCACACAAAATTAGTTGAATTATTGTCAACTTTTGCATGTAGTGTAGTGCCATCATTTGTGTGGGACTGAGTTTTCGCGAAAAAAAAAATATATAAGTAAATATACCTTTTGTTTTTATACGTTTTTATCAATTTTTTTTCCCGATCTCTCTATTCGAACTAAGTGCATAAGTGAATCTCTCAATCGACATTGATTTGATGATTCATGCATATGTGTCAATAGACTATAACTCTGACTTTGACAATTAAGACAGTTAAAATCTTATATTGGAATTTTTATTCATGTAAGTAAGAAATGTCAACCATTGGTGATCAAACAGCAATTGAAAAATTGTCATTGATGTTAATTGAGACTTTCTGATCACTTTAACTTTAATTTCGTATTCTATCTACCTTGAGCAACGTCGAACGCGAAGGACAGCAAACAGAAAATACTGCTGATGTTATTAATGGTATTTATTGTGCATTAAATGATACATCAGCATTACTTAAACATGAATGTGGTTATTGTCATGGTCGAATGGGTAATAATTATGCAATTGTTAAATTTTATTCATATATTGAACGATTAAAAATGAGGATTTAATGGTTCAACATAAAGCAAGTTTGAAAAATTCAAATAATTGAAATTCATTGTAACGATTTTTTCTTTTTCAGGAGAAACATTAGGTGTACTGTGATGTTTTAAAAATCAAGATATTAATAATGCTCTAACAATACATAGCTAATATCCAAGAGCGAAAGCATATTGAAATAAAATCTTTCGTTTTTTTTTCTTGTGTTTGAGAAAAAGTTTCAAGAAAATTCTTAAATTCAGATTTTTGAAACATGTCAAAATGCATTTAATCGTTTCGCGTGGCTACGAAGAATAGCATTGTCATCTATATCAACAAACAAGATTTACGCAACAATTGATCTAGTTCCAGCATTGTCCTTAGCGAATGTTTATGAATTAAGGAAAAAAAAAATTTTTACTTGATGAAAATCAATCATTGTTCAAAGATTATTGTGCTATGCTTGTTTTTACATAATATTGGTACTAATGAAGCTGCACTTGCAATTTGTGAAGGTAAATACAAATAATGATGCTATTTTTTTCTTTAATCAAAAGCTAATTTTTCTAGATTTTCATTCAATAAAATAGGTTTTTTACTTAGTCAACTTCAATCAATATGTTCAATACCAGAATTAACTAAACAATTATCAATACTCAATAAAAATTATATGATTGGACATACATGCCGTCATTTTCTTGAATAATATTTAAATGATAAAGAACGTGTATGTGAAAGTTATAAAGTTGCATTAGATATAAGTGATTATATCAACAGTGTCGATATTCAATATTGTAATGGGTTAAACCATGTTGATCAAAATCATATTGAAAGTTTGTTTGTTTTGTATTGTAAAGAAAAAAAAATAAATACTAGTGACCAATGATGTTTTTGAATTTTGTTTTTGAAGCAAAAATGATATTAATTTGTTTTGTTTCAGATTTCAACAGGAAAACAAATGGTAGGAGAGGTAGGCATAAGAAAAAAGAGTTCGCCTATTTAATACTTTTTACATATTGAATCATAACAATTTTTGCATGGGTGAAATTTTACAAACAGTTCAAATTTAATTCTTATTAATCAATAACAGTATTATTATTAAAAAGAAAGTGGTATATTGTTTTCACATTTATCAACAAATACACAAACATTATTTCTTTAATTTTTTGATAAAATGCGACTTGTAAGTATAAATCAAAATAAAAAGTCTTCCGTTAATCTTGACTGTTTCGATTCCCATTAATAATATTCATTCGATAAAAAGAAAATCATTCCGGACTTTTTTTTTTCGTTATTATATTTTTAAAAGATGACCAAAAAAGACAATCGCAAATGGATAAGTCTAGTAGCACTTGTTCTGCAAAATACCAGTCTTGTACTTCTATTACGTTATTCAAGAACGATGAAAGCTGAACGATATTTATCATCAACGGCTATTGTTACTGCGGAATTTCTCAAAGGATTAATTTGTATTGTTCTTGTTTGGTTAGAAAATGGTATGTAAACAAATATTAATCATTTACAAAATAGAAAAAAAAAATAGTAAATTTTATTCGAAAATAGATCGTTCAATGAATCGATTACTTAGAGTACTGAATGATGAAATCTATGATAAACCATATGATACTTCTAAATTAGCAATACCAAGTGGATTATATGCAATCCAAAATAATCTTTTATTTCTTGCATTATCTTATTTAAATGCGGCAACATATCAAGTATCTTATCAATTAAAAATTTTAACTACGGCTTTATGTTCTGTATTTATGCTGAAAAAAACGATAGAAAAACATCAATGGTTTTCTTTATTTATGCTTGCTATTGGTGTTGCATTTGTAACAGTAAGAGAAAACTATGAACAAATAAGAAATGAAAACAAAAAACATGTTGACATGTATTTTAATAGTGGCCATCACCAGAAGAAGTCCAGAAACGTTTGACAACACAAAATCAAGCAACTTGGTTACAACAATCAATAGGTTTTGGTGCAGTATTATTGGCTTCAATGACATCCGGTTTTGCTGGAGTTTATTTTGAAAGAATCCTTAAAACTGGACCAACATCAGTTTGGGTTAGAAATATTCAATTAGGTAAACAAAACTTACATATATATAGAGAGAAAGAGAGAGTTTCGTCTTAAATGTTACTTCTTTCATGATTCAATGTAAAATATTGAATCGAATCATACTATCAAGATTTTAGCCGAAAACAGATACATAATTATGAAGAATATAATATTGATACTGCTAAATTTAACAGTTAATTGAGTATATAATTAGTTTACGTGACATTCAAAACAAATAAACTTTAGTATCGATACATATCGTCACATCTCAACATATAAAGAGAATGAATTCGAACTCTTCTAAATCCATTTCATAAGCGAAAATATAAAATCAAATGCAACAGACTATTGTCAATAGTTCTCAATTGTTTATACTATTTTGATCAGTTTGTCATGTTGTACAAGCTGGCAAATGTCATATTGATAATAACCTTCATAGCAAAACAAAAAAAACTATTTATCATTTATTTCGTTTATTTAATAGCTTGTTTTGGAACATTTTTCGGTCTGGTGATTGTATTTTGTTTTGATTATAAAGCTGTGATGGATAAAGGTTTCTTTCAAGGATACTCAACAGTCGTATGGATTGTTATTTTACTTCAAGTAAATAAATTAAATAAATATTTACCTTTAAATTATGTTAATTTTTCTAGGCAATTGGTGGTTTGATAATTGCCACTGTGATCAAATATGCCGATAATATTATAAAAGGTTTTGCTACTTCTCTTTCGATTCTTTTTTCATCCGTTATTTCATACTTTATTTTACATGATTTTACACCATCATTGTAAGCAAAATTATTTTATTTACAATTAGAAACAAAAATGTGTATTGTTCTATTTAGATTTTTCTATATGGGAACAGTGTTTGTTTTAGCAGCGACATTTCTTTATGGATGGGAAAAAAATAAAGTGACATTATCTGTGAATGAACAAGCGCGCATTTAAAATTTTAACCATATAGAGACAAAGATTATCCTTTAAAATATATATATATAGAATATTCGCTTTGGTTTTTGTTGATTTTGGTTCAATGAAAAGCATGAATCCTGTTGTTACTTGATTACTAGAAAAAGAAACTTCTTCAAAATCTATTCTTCCTAGTCGATATATTTTTATCAATGACAAACATGTAACACTGTGCGTGCTCTTTTTTTTAAAATTATTATCACTTTTGTTCTTCTATTTTCGTATACGAATATTCATATGTAACCCATCTATTTCATATTTTGATTCTATCCAAAATAAAATTTTATGAGAATATTCCTCTTTTTCAAAATCGAAGAATTGCTTCTGTATATACGTATATTCATTATTTATTACAAGAGGTCAAAGTTAAATATTATTCTTAGATGAATTCAACATGGAAAATAACTTGTTAATGAGAAATAAAGTTGTTTAACAAAATGATGAATTGCATAGCGTCAAACTTGAACATTTCTATTCATTATGAAGGAAGAAAGGAAGAGGAATTAACATGGCTGTCATTCAATCTTTCTGCTATAATGACTAGGCACTACAGAAATAATATCTTATCATCAAAGAGCATATTTAAATTGAGGAAGATTGCTGCTAATCCATTTCTATAATGAGAATTCATAGATGACCGATAGAAGGGGGTGTCATAGGTCATGCAGTTATATTGAAGAACTTAGTAAAAATAGTCATCATCATTACATTGCTGAATGCATATATATGTAACCAGTAAGTTTTAATACATAATCTAAAGCATTCACTCTTAGATAATTCTCAACTGTTCTTCACATTAATATGCCTGACATTCATTTGCGCTTAGTCTCCGTTTTTCGTCGTTCGGACATTTTAATTCAAATAAAAAATAATTCTAAAAGCTTTTCAATCACTTCATTAAATACTAATGTAATTTTTCATTGATATTTTTTTTTTATTAATTCATGAAATATTCATATTTAACTATATTCTTGTAAACAAACTATATTTCACTCTAGAACACTTGAACCGAAAAAAAAACACCTATTAGCAAGTGACAACTAATATTACAGAATCGAAATAGTACATTCGATTGCAAATATGCATCGAGACTCTTCTCTTAGTTATTAAATAACGCATAAGAAAAGGACAGGTAAGACAAAATTAGATACGAATAAAAAATGGTTTATATACAACGTGCAGGCAAGTAAAACATTTGTTTCGCTCGATCGCCCACATGGTTTGGTTAAATCTATAGTAATAATTGTTGGATTGTATAAAATATGATTATTTTTACAGGCCCTCTAAGAATATTTTATATTAGTTGTAACGACGAACGCTACACTTTTCCTCGTTGATGGCATTCTATTTTCATAAATTTTCTTAAAATATAGTAGATAAAGTTTATTTTGGAATGTTTTGGAGTTTCGAGAAGAATTCTTCTTTTTAACGAATTATTTGCGCTCCTATTGACTCATAAAATAAATATTATTGATTTAAAAGTGACTCACACCGATCCGTTCGTTTGTCGTAGCCCCCGTTTGCTATGTAAACCTACGCAAGTTTTTTTTTTCTTCCTCTATTAATGCAACCGATGAAAACAACTACATATATAAAAAGACACGTTTCTTCTATTTTATGTAAACCTAAATCACTATTTTTGTTTTTCATCTAAGATAGATGGGTGATCATAAAAAAACTGAACGTAAATTAAATTTTCCATTTATTGCACAAAATGATACAATGGATACAATAAGAATAAATATGCCTGTCATTACGCAACCATCATCACGACCAAATACTTTACCAATAGGTGGACAATGTGGCAGCAATACAGTATTATTTACACCAGGTGATTATAATAATCTTTTATTATCAACACCAGAAATGGATAATCGATTACGTGGTTATACAACACCAGATTTAATCAATGCTCTTGCAATGTCAACACCTAATGACGTACAATCTTCACTAGGTTTGTATGATCAAATTAAAATAACAGAAAAAAATATACATATAAAAATATTCTTTTTCTTTGGACTTGCAGGTGCCAATATACTTGATGAAATGCTTCCTACTCATATCGATAATAGTAACCATCCAATTTTACAACAAATGCATCCATTCGATCATACTGCATATAAAATAGCATCTAATACGGATAATCGACAACACGAAAATGTTTCAACATATAATAATAATCGATCAAATTCTCAAACATCTCCATATAATCCGTCGGTATCATCGTTAACGATGGATAATGAATCGTCACTTTCAACAGCACCATCAAGCCCATCGTCAATGAATCAACAATTTCAAGAAATAAAAGATGAATTACAACATGTTCCATCCATACGAACAAAACCTCATGATGAACAAAATGATGTAGTAAGAAAAGAAAAAAAACGTGAAAGAAATCGACAAGCAGCACAAAAATGTCGCACAAGAAAATTAACACGTATTGCTGAATTACAAAAACGTGTTAATGAATTACAAGGAAAAAACAAAGATTTATCAAATATAGCCGAATGTCTAAAATCTGATATAACAAGCTTAGAAAGAAAATTATGCGATCATCATGCGCAAGGATGTCAATTAATGAATGGAGCAATACTATAATTATCAAAAAAAAAATTTTTTTTTTTTCTTTGTGTATTTTCATCTCATAACTATGTAGTGATCGTTGGCTTTTTTACTTGAGATTTTTATCGAACATATATTTGAACAGTTTTCTTTGACAGTTATTTTGTCTTCATTTGTTATCGTTTGTTTTCTCTGTAATATACAAATAGACTATTTTAAAAGTATGCATGCATGTCTTAGTGAAGATCGAAAACAACTGTTGACGCCACCGTGTTGATTTAAATGTAGCTGCTGAAAAATTTTAAAAATTTCGTTGTCGAGATTCACTTTAATAAAATTGAAGTTACTGAAGTTTTCAAACATCTATTGCTGTATAATTTTAGCAAGTTGTTTTTCATCTTATTCAACATTTAATTTCATTTTCTTTGTTGAACGCAGACCAAGTATGCCCTTTACTATGTTCGATGAAATTTTCGATCGACGTTCGGAGACGATTTGATAGCTCGTAACTGTAGATGAGAATGCAATGTTTGCCAGTGTTGCTGACATAGTCGAAATTTGGAATGCGACATTTTTTTCAATCTCGTATAGAATTGATGATTGTTTCTAAAAATCAAGTATATCATTTTTATTTGTTTTACGATAGTCGAATATAAAATATCGGGTTAATATGTAGGCGAAGTTAGCATCAGATTCAGGTAAAACTTGCTCATATTCATCGAGAAGATTGTTCCAAGTACAATTCTTGATAATGTATTAAGATTTTTCATAGTTCGAACCAGAGGTCCAACCAGGTCACTAGGCCTGCCTGCCTGCCTGTCACAGGCACAGGCCACGTTTTTTAGGCCTGGCCTATGACAGGCAGGCCAGGCCGACCCCTCAGCCAGGCCAGGCAGACCGCTTAAAACACCAGGCCGCCTGGCCTGTCTATATTCTTTATAAATATAGCTTTTTTTCAATATACATTTTTTTAAACAAATTGAGGGTAATGCTAGCGATCGGGAGAAGTATAGAATAATGTTCTGCTTTCA